ATGAACAGATCTATGGATCTCGACATGCTTCAGTCGATGGCCCTTTCCCGGCTCTCGCTGCTGCTCTTGAGAGGAAGGAAGGAAGAAGGTCAGCTTACAAGTAGGTACAGATGAGGTACCCGGTGAGGTCACGATCATGGTGCTGCAAGCAAAGGGGAAATGAAATGACATGGGGCACGGGGCGTGTCAAGTAAAGCAGACAACCCGACTGGCTGATGGGGTCCAAGAATTGTCAGCTGCATATGTGCCTTGCGTCCTTGTGCGGTATAGCAAAGGTACCTTTCCTTCATAGCGCGTTGGCTCTATCCGTAGGTGGTGTACTGATCGAATACTTGACTTTTACCTAGACTTGAACCTGCCGTGCGCAGTCCCTCCAACATGCGCAGCAAAAGGCGCAAACATCCATCTGTGGTGCTCTTGATAATCTTCGGCGTCGGCAACTCTTTGTCGATTCCTTCCTAAACGAGACAAGGAGGAGCCTTCAAACCGCGCTGGCGCCAATTAATGATAAATCGAGCCAACGGCAAAGAGAAGCTCTTCTGTCTCTCTCTCTTTTTTTGGTTTTGGTGGTGGTGCAAATGCCTCCGTTTAACAAGGCACTTTGCCGGCCTGCAGTTGGCGGCTCGCCCACCCGCAAGACGGGGATTGTGGAATGAAGAAAAAGGGGGATCCGTTCCAAGGCGACAAAAGAGGATTGGATGCCATTCAAGCCCTCAAGCGCTCTAGGGACTGGATGAAAGATTCAAGGAAATATTGAAGAAAAAGAGGCTCCAAACGCCCAGGGCCGGCGCGTGTTGACCTGAGCTTGGACCAATAACCAGCACGAGGACGTTTCAAGAATGAAGGGGGCTGAAGGTTTTTTCCTTCGGAGTGTGTGAAATCTTCAGTGTGGCAGGCCCTTCAAGCAGATATTGCCCTCCTCCGATGGTCAAGTACTTGAGCCTCATTGGCACGATTCAAAGTACGGTCCAAAGGGGGCGATAGAAATGTTTCCTGTACTGGGCTGTTTCAAAACAAGTTGGGCACTCCTCTCAACGGGGTTGGGGTCCTTCAGTGAGTGGTCGGAACCAGAAGTGTGATGTGTTTCTTGGATCAGTGCGCGTTTTTGTTTCTAAGTCAGGGCGCACGTTCCCCCAGGTTGTGGTCTGTTATCCTCCCCCTGCTCTGGGGAAAAGGTTTCCTTGTCGAGGTTCCAACTTCATTCTACACCCCTATTTTCTTCTTCTTTCCTCTCTCCCTTTCCTTTGTGATTGAAGCTCCGGAGGGCGTTTCTGGGTGAATCGGCCTGTTAGATTTGTGGCTCGGGTTGCCCCCACCTCCGCGACTGTTGGGTTTGGGAGCGACGTTGCTAAGGAGGGGATGAATGTCTTGCCCTTACAGGATGTCAAATGGTCTTGTTTCTGTCCCTGTCCCCGGTGGAACAACTTCCCGGAATGGTGCAAGAGTTAGCTTCACTCAACACTCATTGCCGGGGAGGTGCTTGGCTCACTTTCGGTCAGACGATACACTAAAGTTCAGGACTAGGCCCTCGAAACACGTGGCTAGAGGTATCTAGTGCCTGGAAATGTCGGCGGCTGCCCGACTGGGAAGCCTTCATGCCATGTACTGCGAGCTTGAACCTGAACATGCACGGACTAGGGGCCGGACCGGGAGAGACATCATGAGCGAATGCAACGGATGGAAAGAAAAAAAAAAAAAAGACCCTCAAAAGGGATGACGGCTCTGAAGACCCATTAGACTCTATCTACCTCTTTCCTGACACCAATCTCGAGCACATGGCTTCGATGCGCCGTTCCAACGTTATCGCCCTGGTTGAAGAAGTGGAGAGGAAAGGCCGAAGGGCAAGATTGAGCTTGTTGAGCCATCCAATGCACCCCTGCAAGATTTCACTCTTGTGAGCAAATCAACTTGTCACAGAGACTCGGTTTGTTTCCCGAGAAAACGAAATGTGGAAGATTAGTATTATTACAAGGGCACTGGGAGCAACGGAGCGGATGTGGCATGGTGTTGGGTAAGTTGAGTATCCGGATCGGGACAAAGTGGAGAGGGGCCAATTTAACAGAGCTGCTCTCGAGTGGGTGATTAAGCGACAACGGGCGGGTGAGAGGATATTTTTGAAATCCGAAGACCAACACAAACGAGAGCCGAGAGCCTTTGGTGAGGCGACAGCAAAGACTAGGTAATGACCGAGATGAGCAGTTCGAGAAAGAAGGACAAACCCGCTTGGAAGCGAGAGCGAGAGACGGACGTCGAGGATCCCGCACCTCTGTGCCCCGCTGCCTTTGCCGGGCACGATTGTGTCTCCCGAGGGCTTTATTTCCTCTCGTGGAGTGTGATCGATCCCTCCCTCTTCAGGGTACGCTGGTCCCTTCTCCCATCCGCCCTGGAGGGTTTGGTTTCTGGGACGGATAGGACCTCGTAGCCTTTTCCTTCCTGCTCCAGTCCACTAGAGAGAGGCCTTCACTCCGGGGGTTTTTCTTTTCTCTTCTTCTTTTCCTTTTCTTTCTCTCTTTTTCTTCTTTTTGTGTTGTCCGTCTCCAAGGATTCAGTTTGTCTGTTACCCCTGTCACGAAGGGTGCAGGCATTTTGCCCTGAGCACGACATCCTCTGTCAATGGAAAAGTACTCGGGTGGTACATCAATCGATGGCGATGGATGAGGATGGTGCGGCTGCGGATCACCTCTGGAGTTGCGCACAGGCCAGCTTTGCACCCTGGGTTCGTTGTTGCGAGGTGTACGATTAGCAGAGTGGAGGAATGCACCACTCGATCTGGGGTGTGTACTTTTGGGCCCATCCGCGAAGGGCGAAGGAGATGTACCTGGCTGAGTGAGGGACTGACGAGGTGGATTCCGGGAAAACTCCAGGGGAGGAGAGAACGAGAAAAGGGCCAAAAGCAAATGAGATGCACGAAAAGGTACTTCGTACATCAACTTTCCACACGCGGGTTGCAAAGTCTGGTTGCTCTGCTCAGAGAATCGTGGGGAATGGGCGAGATGGTCAACCAGCCGTGCCAACTCCCGCCCCCAGTATTAGCAGAACCATTGCTATAGGAGGGTGTCCCAACGATCAATTGATCCTCCTCCTGCACACCTTGTATACCCTCTATATGTGGCTCTTCTCTGGTACGCTATCATAACAGGCTCTTCCGTCTGTTGGCCCTGTGCCTGCAGGGTTGGCCAACGAGGAGGGTGCGCACCACTCGAGACACTTTGAAGTGGGTGGTTCCATTCCTCCCCATCGAGGGACGATGGTTGTTCGCTGTGTTCTGAGTGCTGCAGCCCGAGCCAGAAAAGCGCCGCGAGGAGTTGAGAGGCCCAGCCAAAGTTTAAAGAGACCTGGAGTGCTTTGGGTGCAAGGGCGGGAAGGGGTGTTTTGGATCCCAGAAACCCGCAGTGCAGTTGGCGGGTTGTGCTCTCCCCAAGGGAGGCAGGCTCTTTCCTTGCCTGCCCCTCTCTTGTTCGATTGTGTGGTTCCCTTCTCCATACTCCAAACTCGTAGATGGATCAATTGATGCACATCGGTCCACGCCTCACGCTCCATGCCCGCCCCTACACTTGGTTGACATGACCCTGGCAAGGTGAGCCCACCTCACCTCGCGGAGTCGAGAGCCATAACACCATGCGCCGACCCCCAAAATCAACATCTTGTGGCCGTTCCGTCCAGCGAGGTCAAAGGCGGCTGTCTCGAACACATAACTGGCGACTGATCCCCCTCCTTCCTCCCTTTTTCTTGCTCGAGTCTCTCCTCGATCCATCATCCTCCCTCCTCTTCTTCTGGCGACCACTGGCCTTAGAGAGGCCGTTGTTGTATTACTTTGATATAATAGGGTTGGCTTCTCAAGCTTCACACAAAGACACAGTTCAGACCGAACACTTTCACTTCATCCTTTGACCACCGGACTTCGCAACTTCTTCCACACCAAGAGAGATTGTTCGCGTATTATTAGCCTTTGCACCAACCGACCTCGTGCTGGACATCGATTCGTTTCTTACATCCTCGTCTTCAGCAGGGTCTGATCAGCCTTTTTTCTCTTTACTTTCTTTCTTCCATCTCCTCCCCTCGTACCCGAGCGTTGACCTTGGGACTCCTCATTTCGAAGAAGCATCCGTGGGCACGACCCACTGCAGCGGAACTCCTTAACATTCCTTCCTGCACCTATCCTCGATCCTCGATCCCGAGATTCTTAGAAGCTCCCGGTTGAAGTGTTCAGGTCGGTACCTTGCCACTACCGCCCAAGCTCATCCTTGGTCTGTTTGTGCAGAAACTTGTACATCGGCTTGTTGTGTGGCCCTGGCACGAAATTCCACCCGACAGCTTGCCAACTCCACTGTTTCTCCCTTTCGGGACGCTGGCCCTCGGCTTCGCACAAGGACGAGCGAGGTACTTTCTCGTACACACTGACCTCTTTTTCTGCTTGAAAATCTCCCACGCCCCCCTCCCCCTTCCACTCTTCCACCACACTCCCTCCCGCCCTTCCCGTATTTTCGACTGGTCCTTTGATTACGCGTGTGGACCAAGGCGACCTGGGCGGATCCGAATTAAACCACCTTCAGCAAGGTGCCTGTCCAACCCTCCCCTTGCTCCCCTGGCGCCCATTACTACCCTCCTCCCCCAAACTCGACTCCTCTTCATTATTCATTCAATTCGATTTCTTGAACAACCCACGCCCTCCCAAGCCAATCCAATAACCACGGGCATCTTCTCTCACCGTCGGCCCACCTTTCGTCAACCGCACCTCGACGACGCCAACATCACCATCCGCCATTCTTTGCCGGGACGGAACGAAGTGATTTACACGCGTCTTGCAGTTCAAGAAACCCGACAACGCGGAATCGGCCAGCCTTATTGATCGACGCGGGTTAATCGGACTCTGCTATCACAGCTAGGCGCGTCGCCTTCCATCGACCGCCACCTGCCCCAACTCGATTTCAGGAGGGAAGGGAACGAGATTAACTCAACGACGTAACGTTAAAATCTGTCAACATACAAGCGCCGCCGTCATGAATGAGGCCCCGGCTGAGGTCCTCAAGGAGGCGAGGCAGAAGATCCTGGCGATGATGGATCTAGGCCTCTCTCGTGAGGCTCTTTTCAACCTCGTTGCCACTTCGAGCCCAACCGGCCCAGAAGCTCCTCAGACCATGATTCAACAACCTCAGCAGCAGCAGCAACAACAACCCGTGCAGCAACACCACCAGACTTTGCTAACGCGGCCCGGTGATGGTATTTTGCCAGAAGTGAAGCAGGAACAACAGTCGCTGGACACATCAGCGGTGAATGGTACGATTTCTTTTTCTCTCCATGATCCTCGGTCTTCTCGCAAGCCGGCCTGTCCTTTTGTTAACATGACCCTTCTTAGCTCCCCCAGCACCCCAGAACGTTTACTGGGCCAAGCCAGGCCCTTATCACCACCGTCCGCGTATTTCTGTGTCGTCGACAAGCTCTGGATCGTCCGGCCGGGCTAGCATCTGGTCCAATACCCTCCTTCGCGTCCACCTCCTCAGGCGCCACGCATTACTCTCAGTCTTCCTCCCCCTCGCTCAGTCACAAGCGCTCCAGCCAGGGCAGTCCGGAACGACGTCGCCACCGGCTGCTGCACAAAATCCCGCCGGCTGGCCTACCGGAAGGCTCAACTTCTATTGGTGTACTTCATGTGAAACGAGATTCAAGAGAAAATACGACTGGAAGAGGCACGAAGAAGAATTTCACGAGAGATGGAAGAAGTATCCGTGCCCCGAGCCGGGTTGCAACCGTAGCTTCTGGGGAGCCAATACTTTCAACCAACACCACAAGGCGTCGCATGGGTGCAAGACATGCCCCCATTCCGAGCAAGTTGTCAAGTATCTCAGAAAGCGGAAGTACTGGGCTTGCGGCTTCTGTGCTGCTCTCCATCCTTCCAGGGAACGACACGTGGAGCATGTTGCTAGGCACTTCGAAGCAGGCAAGACGAAGGCGGACTGGACCCATTCTCGAGTCATTTATGGGCTGCTTCACCAACCGCTCATCCACGAAGCTTGGAAGGATGTTTTGGGAGAGAAGCAAGGCGACTTCGCAGGGCGACAGGCACAATTCAGCTGGAATCCCACCAAGACTGGGAGAGCGCAAGGCTTCATGGAAAACGAGTGCCCAGGCCAGCTCCAAGATCTTCTCGAATTCTTCTCGGGCTCAAGCACCGATGCTGAAGGCATTGTACGAGTTGCTTACGATCTTGCCGATGTTGTCTTCATAAATAACGGCTTCGGAGGCCCAACAACCTGCGTCGACACTGCCTCCGTCGTTGCCGCGGCGAATGCCACCTCGTATCCCACGCCGCCTGAGTCGACATTATCGCCTGTCACCCCCGGCACCAATATTCCCCCACAACCGCAACACGGCATGTTGATGGGCGAACCGACATCGCCCTCATCTGGATTTCCCGGGCCCTTTGGAAATCCGGCTATGATGCAGCCATCTATGTTCAGTCCCACTAACACGGCCCCTCGCCCGATGTCTCAGCAACCTCTGAGGCGGTCTTCCCTAGAGCGGGCCCTCACCCCCACCTCCTAGCGAGGCTAACCCCATGACTGGCGCCCCCATGATCAACATCGACTATCTCCAGTCGCAAGCTGGCAGCGGCCTCATGCTGGAAGATTGGGAGAGCTTCGCTACCACGGTGGTTGACGATGGCAGCATGCAACAACCCAATCAAGTCCACTCCGAGTGGCCCATGGTCCAGTATTTTGGTCCTCAATGAGCCTTGCAACCCTGCGGCGCGTCGTCACTTTGAATCGCATCTGATTCAATTCACTCTTATCTTTTTGTCATCTCCCTCACTCGGCTCTCGTCCCCCTTGTCACCTACCATACTCAACCGATTTAGCTGTTGGTTATGATTAGATGTGCTCATAGGGCTAAGAATTTTGAACCGAGACCTTTCCCCTCCCTCCATTTCTACCCCCAATTCACTACCCTTTTTACATTTGCGGGCATTTTTGCACGCCGCACCCCTAGATAATGGTAATACCCCCGTCACTCGAGGATGGCGCCATGTCTGCTGTACATGTCATCACATATATTTTTTTCAGTCTACACCATCGTGCCCTACTCTTTTCCTTTGTTCTTTTGTTTCATCCATATTCCCCAGTACATTCACGGCTTTCTCTCTCGGTTTAGGGTTGGTTTGGCAAGGCTCAGGTCGGGTTGGCTTTGGTTCATCGGCACAGGGGGTGTTAGTTGCGTTTGCGTGTATCGTCGTCGCCTAGGCGGATATTAATGCGCAGGAGTGGATTGGCCGCCTCTAATAGAACGGAGGAAACATTTGTGTTCCCTCGCGTCCTTGCTACCTAGTTGACTTTTCTCTCCTTTCTCGTCGTTTCTTGGCCCCTCTCCCCTTTTTCTTTACACCTCATCATTTCTTGTTTGTTCCTATGGATCTGTGGCTATGGGTGGTATGAAAATAGGAGAATGCGAGGTTTTTCGCAAGTATTTGAAGATGGTCCCTGTTTGGAGGGATAGGATGATGCGCGTGGCGGTGAGGTTGTTGAGGATATACAGATGTATCCCATACGCGCCATCTCGTGCCTCTACCCTACCATCGAGGAGCACAGGATTGGCTTCTCAAACATGAGAAGCTATATATTTATTGAGCAGGGATATAGGCAGGTACTGGCAGCTAGCTAGCTTAATGAAAGACTTCAAGAACACATCCTCGCTCCACCCTTTTGACTTTGGATCTGTTTTGGCCGTGACTCGTCGCTCGTCGCGGGACACTAGAATGAGGCTCCTTGATTCCTTGCCTCCTGAACGCTGCTGCTGGACTAGAGAGGCAACTAGCTCTCCTGCTACGATTGCCTTAGCCATATCAGTTGAACTCTGCGCCGATGCTTGCCTTCAGACTAGGCCCTCTTTTCCCTTCTTTTCTCCTACTATTGACATGTAGTAAGATGTAGAGAGGAACAGATGGGAGGATATCGGAGCTTCGAGTGAAAGAAGGAGCTTGAGCTTGTGGCAAGACCGGCGGGTAGGGCAAATCTGCGGCAATATGCGGATGCTCAGGGCTAGTATCCGCCTTGAGCGGCAACGTGGCGACGTTATCAGACGGGGGTTTCGCGTGGGGTTTTTTGAGGCCCGACTTGTATGAGTAACAGTTGCGAGAGATGTAAGTAGACGTTGTTAAGGGTCCTAAGATGACGAGATACCGTGGAAGATGAGTAGCATCTTGTGGCGTATAAGGGGAAAGCAAAGGGAAGCCCAGGGAAACAGTAAGGTATATGGTCTGGGCTCAGAGACTAGATGCGAGCGCCGTCATCTTTCCCCGGCACCGGGCGGAAAGAGACTGCATTCTCGGGATACTCCTCCGCGAAAGCGCAACCGCACTTATAGGATGAAGCGGGCCTCGAGCGGGAAGACGGGGAGGAAAGTGGGGAAAACAGGGGGAGCGGAGACTCGTACCTCTAGGCGCTGTGCGAGTTCGACACCAAAGAGTATTAGAGACGGGCCGAAGTAGCGGCCGATACAAGGGCGCGGTTGGGTCCGGGCCTTACGCGTTCGGGCGGAGCGGTGTCCGAGCCGAGTCTTGTCTCGGGCCCTCTTAGCAAGGCGCCTCACCGGGACACATCTCTGCGACTTTGTAAGAGACGCGTGACGCGTACCGTCGGCGGAGGTGCGTTTCCTACCCTCCCCACCAGACGTAGCATAGACTACGAGTCATCTTCCGTGAGGGCTGGTAACGGATCCTAGGAAGGAGCACAGGGATCCCCGTTCTCGTGGGGAAGGGGGTTTTATGAGGCCCTAACTTGATGTTCTCGCCTTAATGCTAAATTATTTATACAAGTCCCGCCTCGTATAGAATAGCGCAATGGTACTACTGCCCCCCTTCTCTCCCTTTTTTCCCCTTCTTCGGCGTGACGAAAGCCGGAATGCCGGCCGTGCCCCACCCTTCGGCTCCGCCGCCAAATCTCGGCCGACATCCTCCCAGCCGCCGGATTGCACCTCAGCCCTCGCCCTCTCTTCCAAACTCTTCCAAACTCTTCCAAACTCTTCCAACGTCCTCAGCTATGGATTCCGGCTCCGACAACCTCATCATGTATCTCTTGACCCTCATCCGTTCCCGTCAAATCCCCTCCCTCGTTGCGAGGGGAAGAGAGGAGAAGGTTGGCAACAGCCAAGTCTAATCCAACGATAGGAGGGGAGTAGGTATTTGATGGTTTCTGGTCCCGTCCCTCAATATCATTTTTCTCCCGCTCCTCTTCATTCTTCTCTGGGGATATCCCATGCCATAACAGGCAGGCCATGTATGCCAAGTTGCCTCTGCTGCCTTGTACTCTTCAAACTATATAACGCTTCTTGCGTATCGGTCGTATCCGCGTTGACCGGAGGCTTTTTGGGGTAATAGAGCGGATATTGAGAATGTTTTCGGAAGAAGGATACTTTCAGAGTTGATAGATAAAAATATATATTCGCATGAGTAGAGGTTTTCTTGCAATCGTGGTATAGAATTTCCAACAAAAAAGAGGCAAATGAAGCCTTCGAGATATCCCAGAACAATGAAACAAAAACAGAGGCCCGAAGAAAAGAAAAGCCGCAGGCCAACAACCGCTTAACGCCATTTTCCATCATGATGAGCCGATCGCTCTCACTCATACCATATCTGATCCGATCTTTCGCTTCCAATTTTCCTTCTCAATAAGCAAAACCATTTATACATACACTCGTCCCAGGCTGCTTGGGCCGTCCCTCACCTGCCCCTCCTTTTCCTTTCTTCCTCGGAGTGAATTAGTGAAATTTTGTTTCAAATAGTGTGTTGTTTGAACTCGTCGCCTCAAACGCTTCGTGCTCATGTGGTCGGAAGGCCCTTCCGCCGAAATCTCCGGTCCTCTTTTGTAGTCCGTCAAGACATGGCTTCGTTGCAAATTGCCTGCTATGCATTCTCATAAATCCGCATGGAACAAAAATAAAGGCAATAGGAGACGAGGTAGGATCAAATCGAACCCGCGTGTTCCCTCTCCACATCGCCGTCTATCTCCACATGCCCTCAAGGCCGCTGGCGATGCCGCTATCCCCTCTGTCTTTCAGTTGAGCATTCTCGTCAGCGAGCTCTTTATTCCGTCGCTCGAGATGCATGATATATTCGGCAGCCTTGCTGAGGATTGTCGCTTTATTGAGCTTCTGCGCGGGAACTAGACCGCCAAGTTCTTCGGCGAGGTCTTCGTCAAGCTCGGCATCGTCGGGAAGGTGCCCGTGCTCAAGTTTGTAGGCAGCAACCCGGAGAGAAGGTACGGCGTCACGTAGGGCCGCAATCTTGTCGTTCAGGTTATTGCGGTAACGTTTCTCGATCATGTTGTGGGCTGTCTTCTTAGGTTGAACGGGTTGGGCTGTGGAACCTCCCGAGGTCCGGCGGGTTGGGACAGCTGCGGGGGCGGAGAGGGAGGGGAAAGAGATGAGCGAGCAGAGGATGTGGCGGATCCTGAGGTAGATGCCAGTGATTTTCGTTTCCTGGAGGGATATCTGGACTCGTCTGTTGAGATTGGAGAGAGGGGTTGGTGTGTATTGGTGCGGCTGGCCGCCGTTGAGGTTGAAGTAGTCTTTCGCGATTTGTTGGTAACTGGATCGGGAATCATGTCAATGTTGTCAAAGAGAGGGGTTTCGAGATCATCAAAAACGCCCTCGACAAAGCCGCCGATGTTATCAACATCTCGCTTCGCGAGCTCGAGAGGATTTATCGCGGGACTGGTCGATGATGGAAAGCGCGCAGATATAATTGGGCTGTCAAAAGATTCAGTGCTCGGGAACTCGGGAGACATGGCGGCTTTGCCCGTCCAGTTCATCCATTCGGCCGACTGCGGTAGCTGGTATGTGTTGAGAGGGAAAGAGGTTGAGGTGGGGGATGGTACCGAACCAGCGCCGAAGTCTCCAAGAGCGAGCTCGGTGAAGTCTGCTGAGATCTAGACGGTGGTGGGCTCTTGTTAGTCAACGAAACCAGTCTACTTCGTGGCAACACTACAGGTAAAGAGGCACATACCGAGTCTCGCTGAGTAGGGCTGTAATAGCTTGCAAAATCCATTCTTCTTGCTGTCATTGTATTGATAAAAGCTGACTTTACTCCGGCAACGTAGCAACTTCTAACTCGCCAACCAAGGGGGTAGGAGGCCAAATAAATGGAGGGCGTAGATCAGCGAGGTTTCAAGGTTTTCGGGTAGTTGGGCGTCGAAGCCACGCAGCTAACTCCCAAAGCAAAAAGGTTGGTTGAAGCAGGCGGGGTAGAGCTAGGCAGTTCTGGTAGGTCGTGCCGCGTGCGACGAGGGCGGAAGAGGATCAACAGATTGCGTTTGCCGAGCTTCTGGTACGGAAGCTCTGTGTCAATCAACCGGGTGATGCGTTTTGAGGTCCGCGGCTTGGCGGGATTAGAGGTAGCTCATCAAGCGGCCCTGGAGCGAGCGATAGCGGCGAGGTTAGGCTAAGGCCTGGTCAAAGAAGAGTGAAGGGGAAAGAAAACAGGGTCGAGTTAAGCTCCGGGCTAAGGCTGTCAAGCTTGAAGTGTAGGAGAGGCGATCCTAGAAGTTTTGACAGTTCAAAGTTGGCTTAAAAGCTGATAAGAGCTGCTCGAGCCGGTGGGAGCAAGTAAAGGGCACACCGAGACTGAGATTGGGTGAGAGGGGAGAGAAAAGAGTATCAAGGACTCGTGGGCGCCAAAGAGTATGTAAAGAAAGATTGAGTAGCTTGGACTTGTTGGAAGCTTTCGGGACTGCAATCAAGGCAGAGTAGCGTAGATATAATAGATATAGTATCTTTGTATGTTTCGGTGGTGCGTCAAGGGACGTTCAAGAACATCTCAAGGTGGGTGTGTACGAGAGCTTATAGCTCGGAGGAATACGTATACAGCTGGGGCCGCCGAGGGACTCCGGATTCGTACTTGGTACCTTGGCAAGTGGAGCAGGGAGTAAAGTGTGTTTGGGATGGGGATATGGAGTAGGGGTGTGGGTAATTGACAAGGGCACCGTAGCGTTTTCCGTTTTCTGGATCGATGGATGAGATGATGCTGATGATGATGTGATGGTATGATTACAGCAGCAGCTAAGTGATACATATAAAGCGGAGGAGAAAAAAAAAGACCTGTTGGGAGGCGGGGCCGGGTGGGATGGATGGAAAGGAGGGGCCAAGATATATACCGAAGACGTCGGTTGAGCGAAGCAAAAGTTGACAAGAACTTTGGGAGTGTAAGGCAGAACGAAACCGAGATGTGACTAATAAAGGGACGGTAGGAAATAGAAAAGAGGAAAATAGACGGAAGGGGAGCCCTGGTCAAGAGGCAAGGAGCATCGAGCCATTAGAGGCCAAGACTGTGTAGCGTGGGAGCGGGAACGGGCGTGGATGCGAAGCCGAAGTGGCGGACGGCCACGAGAGAGACTTGCTGATGGGCCAAGCTTCGATGTTGGCTAGCACCTTCTCCGTCCTTCCCTACCAAGAACAGTGCAATTAATCGCAACTTTGCAAGCAGCCTTGACCTTGGTGGGTCATGGGCGGGCATGTCGGGAGACGTAAGCCGAGCTCAACTTTACTCTCGTACCTCTGAAGAAACGAATCTGCGATCGAATTCCCCTTCCTCGTCTTCGAGAAAGCACGGCCAAGAACCTGCAGGAGCTTTCCGGGCGAGAGTTGTGGGTCCACGCCCCAGCCAAAGTCTTGCTCTTCCATGATGCAGTGGCCATGCAAGACTCAAGATTACCGTACCCACGTCCCCGGACGGTAACCATTCCGCCCCTAGCGTTTTCCCCCATTGTTAGCTGCGAGAGTTGCCCTCCGCAGATCTGGCGAAGAGACAGTTCGAGTCGTTATGTGCATCAGTCTCGCCTCCTGTCTTGGAGGTCAATTCCTTTGGGCCCCCTGACGACTATGAGCAACGGCGATTGCAAGGCCGGGGAGCTTGTCACTAGAGCGAACTTTCCAGCGCCCGCGGCCAAATATTGACCTTTGACCGTACATGGATCTATGGATGTATACATTGGGGCGGCGGGCAGCGCATTCATGAGCACGAGAACTACCCATCCACAAACTATATGTGCCGGGAAGTTACGGGAAAAGTAGGAACCAGCTTTCCTTTTTTCCCCTTCATTTTTCCCTTCATTTTTCCCTTGCCTTCCCCGTACGTTTGCGCGGAGATGCATTGACCGACCCAATCAAGACACCCGTTCGGGACCTATCATTAAACGTCGTTCGGAAAAGGGTGATGGAAATAAAAATGGAAGCAGCTGTGGACGCTGGATTGGGGATTAACGGCGGAGCTAAGGCAAACGGAAGGGTGAAAGGGAGAGGGCGTTCGGGTTGGTGCAAGGGCAGGCATAATTTGAGCAGAATTTGATCAGTCAATGTATGTTGACAGCCCGCATTCGGTGATCCCTTTGACCCTGGAGGGACATGCTTGTAGGAACACGGAAGGGTGGGGTTCTCAAAAATGGTTCGGTAGGGCACCATCTTGAGCCCTTTCGCTGGAAAGGTCGTACGACATCCACCACCATCGCCAGGGTCCGGCCTACACTATTTCGCGTGAAATGGCGCGGAAAGGGGCTAGAGGGAATGTGGGGGCGTTGACGTCGTGAAAACGTGCCGCGTTGTTGAAGGGAAGGATCCTCCTTGCAGCTTTCCTTTTCGAATCTACTTCTACCCGATTAAGAGCTTGATTGCCTCGGTGCCATTTGAAAGTGATAGATTCGTGGTTTTCTCAATGGTTTATCACGGACCCCCTCAGCTACAGCCCTGGTATGAAACTATGCCGACGTCTTTTCACTGGAAATGCTCCTCGGCTACGCGCAAGGAAAGTACGTTCGTGCACAACAAGGTAATTCCCGGAACGGGAAATCGCAACCACGCTGATATCCGGGCTCTTCTCTTGTCAAGCTTGACGATATGTACCTACACATGTGAATTTGTGGGCAAGGTACGTTGAGTCACCGACAGTCGAGAGTCTCCACCTCTTGTTCGGACCCGAGGCCAAGACTTTGACAGACGACACGAGGTACGGAATCTCGAAAAAGAAAAGCAAAAGAAATTGAGAAAAAAAGAAGAAAAAGGAAAAAAAGAAAGAAAGAAAAAGAAGACGGGTAGGCAGTGAACCGCGTGGGTTGAACTGCAAATGTTAGTGTACGCCCCTTGATCCCCTCGCCTCCTCCATAGTCTCAGCACCTGGGCGACAGCTCGCGGGGAAACGGACATGAAAGGAGAGCAAGAGCCAGAGCGACACGCCAACACGTCAAGTGGATACATGTAGAATGCGGCGAGGCGTCGTCCTTTTGGGGAGCGGAAGCTGCGGGGTCTGGAGAGCCGTTACAGGAACGGATTGATCGGGAAGGGATCGGTGTGGGCGAACGTCATCGGGCAAACATTTCTTCTTTTGTATTTTTATTTTGCTGACCGCATCAACGGCAGGCTGACACTCAGATAGATTTAACAATTGATTCAACTAATAACCCACGTTCTACGTTCTAGTTTCGCAGTCTTTTTGACACAATCTAGGGGGATGTCGTGTCGTGTCGCCCTGCCACGTTGGGTTGTGATTAGCCTGGGAAAGGGTGCTCTGTTCGCAAAACTTGAAAGCGCCGGAAAACAAGGGTCTAGACCCCATTCATTATCCGCGCCCATTGTCGATCTACCGACACGCCTTTCCCGATGTACTCGACTGTTTTGAAGCTAGGGTGAAAACGATGGTGACAATTACGCTTGCTCAACATCACCTCCAGCCTCTCACTCAAACGTAGGACAGAGGCAAAGTTTCAGCCTGCATAAACCTTCCAACACAGTAAAACCAACTCCAAAAAGGAAAGACTGTGATTAAATCAGTCTCTGGCTGAGCTAACACCGGCCTTTAGGGTGTGGCAATGCTACATGTACTATGAGATTATCATGTTCAAAGAGACGACGGAGAGAGCGCGCTCCCCGTGCTCGGCTTAGCGCCCGTGGGCCAAGGCAGGGTGGGTTGGCGGAAGACGCCGGCTGGTTTTTGTCGTCGCCCAAAAATTTTCGTTTAAATGCTGGAAAAGCCGCCTGCATCCTGCATTTCGCCAACTAATAGCAACCCCTCCCCCTTCTTTGGTTGGAAACGCTGCTATGCCGAGATGTCCGCGGCCATTCGGACTTTTCGCGGTCGGATCGAGGATCGCCTACAATTGGCTCAAAGGGACACACACACACCGTCTTGCTCCCCGTCATTATTTGCACAAGAACAAGAAAAGGCAGCTATTCACGGAAAGTTGTTAAGGGTAGAGCTCGAACTCGGGTTAAGACTTATATTGCACTCTCAGGAGCTTAGTAGAAGCATACTGCCCCATGATAGTGAAGATGGGTGTTCCTAGAAACCACCGTGAATTGGTGGTACCCCGGGGCTTCGAGAGTCCGGCAAGCAAGTGGCACCTAATAAAAGGCAAAGCGCTAATAACATTTACGGCAATCGCTTGAAAGGGTTTTCCTTCGCAGGAAGCAAAAGAGCTAACGGTCCCAAAAGGGAGGGAGGGAAGAAGAAAAAAAAAAAAAAAAGGAAAAAGGAAAAAGGAAAAAAAGGAAAAAGAAAAAAAAAAAAAGGAACAAAGGACTTCGTACACTGCCGCGCGGGAAACGTACTCAACATCGCCGTTCTCAGCAATCCTCCTCGCACCTCGGCGACCTAATCTAAAATACTTGGCCATATCTAATATTACCATTGACCCTTTTCCGGTGTACGAAGGATGTACGAAACGGTCGGCACCGGCCTGGAGGTAATCGCTCGTCGGGGCTCTATGGTTCATGCAGTGCTTCAGACTGAAATATAGCACCCTCGTCAGAAAACAATGACCGAACGGAACAATGGAAGATCTAGATCGATGCGCGAAGGAATGCAAAGGAACGAGCTTCAGCCTTTCTTCAGTTTGAATGTAGCCAGTGCCCGCCGTCCGCGAGCAAAAAACACTATTTAGTGTGAAGCGAACTTGGATATGCAGAATGAAGCAGTGTCACAAAGCTAAAAAGGTAAAACATCCTCTGCTCCGAGAAGAGCATAGAGCCGAGAAGCCGAAGGCTTCCGTAGCTCCCATCATTAACATTGGACAGACT